TTAAAGTAAGGCTTTTATAAAGTGCATAGTTTTATAATAATTCTCTAGTCTAGCCTGTAGCTAAGTAATACAGCTCCAAATAAGAGAGAAGTAGCTGTGACACCTGATAAATTATATTACTTGACTGATTTATGACTTCTGTCCTCCTGTTCCAACCTAACAAAGAAAATTCAATTATCCAAGCAGTCCAGGTTCATGACTTTGGGAAAAGATGATCTGAAGCCAAAATTCAAGTATCCTGAATCATTTCTAAATGACAGCATAGAACACTGTTTAAAGTGCAGCAAGTAACAAGGATAAGCAAAGATTGTTTAAGTGTTGTCACTTTCTGAAGATAGTCTGCAAGGTATTTGACAATGTTATTGAAGCATAAAACTTTAATACCTATAGGCCTAAATACCTATAACTTATGGAGACTTTATAAACTTTCAACACATAGTAAAATTTAAAAATTTAAACGGTAAAATGTAATGGCCAACAATAATGCAATGGAAAGACAGTATATTTAAAAAAAACAAACAGTGTGCAGATGGAACATGTTATGTTAGCACAAAAACTTTATTTCTTGTACCTAGGTTTTCTGTATTTAAATATTTAATTCCAAAATCCCACTAAGGAGTTGTTGTTTGTCAATCAAACCTGAATTTGTCATCAAATTCAGTTCTAACTTCCATAATTCATTTTGTTCTTACTCGGAATACCACAGTTCAACTTCAATGAGACAGTATAAGAGATAACATATACTCCTCCTGACTAGAGGACACCCTGGATTATCAGCACATGTTTTATTCTGTACTAAATTCTGAATGCATTATAGATTTCCTGTGGTTAACACTAGGATTTAATAAATCTTTTCACAAGAGATCATAGCCACTAAAAAAGTAATTCAGAGAAAATTATATCCTGCCTTCAAAAATAACCATTGTTTTAAGTTTGGCATAGAGAAAGTAGTGACAACTGGGAATCTAAGTTCAGGTTTCCAGATGACTTTTTCTTTCTGCTTTAAGGAATTTGTGAACTTTCTCCAGAATTTGTTGTTCCTTCCCATCAACTCCCCCCAACTTCCCAGCCACTCCAAAAAAGAAAAAAAAAAAAAAAAAAAAAAAAAAAAAAAAAAAAAAAAAAAAAAAAAAAAAAAAAAAAAAAAAAAAAAAAAAAAAAAAAAGGAAAAAAAGCAAACAGAAGACTCTTCCAAATCAAAATTAGAAGTATTGTCTTTGCTTAATTGTCTTCTGAAGCTATTTCTGGAGCTAACCTGGTCTAACTGTGGCCATGTTAAATTCAAGTGTCTTGTCTAAGCTCATCATTGCTGTTTGCTTATACCATGGAAAGAAAGTGGTATCTCCAGAGGGTGATTTGTGCCCACTGTACAAGACCTTATCTTCAATGGATCCCTCATTCTTCAGGGTGCTGTAGCTGTCTCTGAAGACTACAATGGATCTAGATTTTGGTAAAATAAATTCAACCTGGAAAAACTCAGTCAACCTCATACCTTGTAAAATTTTTACCCCTGGATTTAAAAAAATATGTTTTCAATAAAATTGATAGTGTTTATATATCAGATAATCTTACAGAGCATCAGTATGTTTAACGTAGATATTTAATATGTTTCATAAGCATAGATTAAAGCCTATGAAAATGCAATTTCTAGACTTTTAATGCTGGACTGTACAGACTTTGCAACAACAGATGTGCAACGATGTACAATTTCACTCAGTTTATTTGAAATAGCTGTCTCTTTACTATCTGAGCACTATATGAAAAGCCAGAGGCAGAGAACAAGATGTATTATTCCTTCCTCTTAATCAAACTTCAAATCAGAAAAGCATGTGTGCAAATGCTACTGTTTGCTTGATTGATAGTGAAATCTTACCACACTCAGGAGGAATTTAGAGGATTTCTGGGAAGAAGTTCTAACTCTAAGTTCAGACTGCAAAGAAAGTTTGCTCTGCTGGCATCTGACAGTGAAACATGATTCTGCTTAACACGGCATGACTATAGTCGCACGGTGGGAGATTGCAGGCAATGAAAAAACCTTTAACAAATGGCTCCTATCTGCAAGGAACAGAGCACTGATCTTTTGATCAGAACACATCTTCGGTAATGAGGTATGCCAAGCATGCTGTACCAGAATTAATCTTTCTATAAAAGCCACAAAATTGCTAAAATTCAATATGAAGATAATGAAAAGAATGTTTTCCAGTATCCAGGTTCTGGTCAGGTGGAAGTAAGTTATGATGTTTTCTTGCTATCCAGCCAGTAATTATGAAGGTGTCTGCCACAATTCACGGTTTCCCATTCTCATGGGTCCCTTCTGTTCCAACAGCTACATCTACCCTACATGACTCTTATTCATGTGTTTTCTTCAAATGAAATCAAGGAACAGTAGAGTGGTGCTGTGTTGGCCCAAATCTAAACCTGGGAGCAGGGAAGTGATCCTAAATCCTGCATTTTAGAGGCAGTAAGTTTCGTTCGATCCACGAATAAAAATGGTGCTCCCCCTCACCCTCCCTCAATGTTCCACTCCATACCACTCTGACATCCATAATCAGAAAATGACTAAACAAACAGTCTCAAAATAAAATGTGGCTATTTTCACCAGAAGTATATTGGTCAGTGCAGCCACCTGGAACACTGATTGGACTTGATCTTTCATTACAGAATAATTAAAGACTCACTGGACAAAAAGAATTGAAGAATGAGCACAAATTATTGACAAAATTATAAGAGCACTCACTAGGAAGAACAGACAGATGTATAATAGTTTCTGCCCTGTCGAGTCCTCAATATAAAGTATTTAAGTATTCAGTAGTTTTGAGATTAGTCAGCAAAAATTCTTCGCCCAGATGAACATTTCTATTACTGTGCAATGCGGCTGGGGTCACACACATACATTGCTCCAATGATGAATTATTTCCAAATGAATCAAAGCTGCAGCTTCAGCAAGATGCAACAAAAAAGTACACGACGAGGAAATTCAGGAGTATTATGTTCAGAAGCAAAAAAAAATCTTCAAGCTAATCAGGCAAAGAAGGCACCTGAACCAACTCCAACCCTACAAGGCTGCCCAAAAGCTCTATTTAACAAAACATAGAGTCTATTACTTCTGCCTGTATTCTGTAGGAGTCAGTTTATGTATCCAGCTCCAAGAGAGGACTTATGATCATGAGTTAAGGGCTGAGAGAGGTGTCTCTGTGCCATGTTTAATTTTCTTGCAGCAATGTGATCTAGAACAAACTGGCTCTGGCATTGGTTTACCCTACTAATCTGCTCTCTCTGCCATGCACTGGCTTTTGTATACTCCTTTCTTAAGTCTGACATCTCATCTGTCAGAAAAGAATATACCTAGATTCTCTTGTAGGTCTGCTTCTAGTTGTTGTGGTAACTCTCTTAAGTCTGCATTATCTCACAGGAAAAATATTCTCTTTCTCATTTAATCTCATGAAATTTTAAAAAGGCATCATCAATGTCAAAGTGCTGGAAGATAGTGAAAAGCAGCACCACCACCTGAAAATCTCATTAAGGACAAGGGAAGTACACCTCTCATATACCAATCATAGCAGAGAAAAATATTTGCTAAATACTAGTTGACAATTTAGTTTGGATGAAAACTGGAGAATAGAAGAAACACTTGTGTCAAGAGTTGCTCCATGCCAAAATCTGCCTTGCTATCTACACCTAAAAAAAGTGCAACGTTTGACACTGTAGATTAACTGAAATGGGAATGACATAGAGCAAAAAAATTAGGCCTTATCTGGAGTACCATGGATTTTGTTTTATTATTTCACACAGTTCACTATTATATATATCTTAAAAAAATTATTAACATCCTGCTCCCTCCAAAGAGGCACAGATGTCAAGAGATACAACAAAGCTTCTATGCAGGATGAAGATCAGGGGAGCAGGATGGAAGTTTCTAGCATCTTATTACAGAAGCCAACTCTGCAGCTTCTCCCTCTACCAAAACCTTGACAGGTAAACCTAACACAGGCAGGAATTTAGTACTCACTGTCACAATAGTTGGGCTGACTGAAAAATATTGAAAATATGAGCCCACGGACTCAGAAACTGTTCTCTCTTTTTGGTCTTAGATAAGCTAAATGTCTTCAGCTATACGCTGGTTTTTTTCAGCTAACTTGGGTCTTGTGAAGATACAAAAGACTGTATAAGTGGAAAACAGGTCTATAAATACTAAGATATAATAATAAAAAATCAGTATTTCTTTAGATTATATGACTAAAATATAAGACATAAAAAGATACACTGATATATAATTAAAACTGTATAATTTATAAAAAGCATTAATAAAATTAGAAGAATTTTCAGAAGTTTTCTTGGGGTTTATATATATATATATATATATAAAATACTTCTTCAAAACTATGTATTACTGATAGAAAAACGAAAATTTTGAAACAAAATAATTCCAATTTAAAGTAATCTTAAGTTGAAAAGATTTGGCAGGAGTTCAGTTTTCTGTCTCAGAAGTAAACAAAATTTCAAATTACTAGCAATAACTAGAACATAAAATTTTATAATACAAATTATCCAGTTCATAAACTCCTTATTTATTTAAACACCTGTATGGATCCTACAGATGTTACTTTTGCATTACTGAGCAAAATTTCTTCTCAGCATCAATACTCCATACTCTAGCTAAATATTCAGCAAATACAGTAATGTTGCACAAATTCTCCCCCAGGAAAAGCTCGAGAGAATATAAGGAGATTCTTCCAAGAACCAGATTATTAAAAAGCAAATTAAAATACCCTGGAAAATCTCATAATTGATGGTAAAAGACACTTGCTTAGTCTGAATAATGATGCCACATCCGAAGAAATACAAGCTAGGTTCCCTGTGTGATCACTGTGTCCTCCTTTTCATTATCAGTTCTGCTACACAAAACACCAGCAAGAAAAAACTTCCACTCTGTGCTTAAAATGGAAATGCAGACATCTTGCTAGCAGGAGGCATCATGCAACCACTTTAGCTTTGCTTACCATCTGTCGAGCATCCACTGGTGCCATCACTGGAACAGTAGCGCATTTCAATGCGTTGCCTTCCCACCTCCAGTAAATTTGGGTCAGGCAAGCGAGCTTTGCAGGTGTATCTGAAACGTTGTTCATAGTGACCACCATTGTCTGAAATATTGACTGGGGTCCAAGGCGTCCAGGGAGTTGTCTTTTTTAACTCTGGGCAGGCATTGGTGTTACAGGGCTGATATTCCTGAAAGAAAAATGGTTGTAATGAATATAATGGTCATGAATGAATATAATCAGCAAATACGACTTTAAGAAAAACCCAGAAACACTCAAAACAGACAAAAAGACAACCAATTAAAAAGCCTCATACTTTTTTCAGCATTTCCAATAGCAGTGATCATCAATAAACTTTTAATTCCAATTTCAAACTGAAAGTGTTTTTTCTCCTTCTATGCAAGCAGAGTATCACACTGCTAAGAGCAATAATATGCTACTACAAATTAGATCTATTATATTCGTAAAATCAGTAAAACAAACACTATAAGTACCATGATAAAGCACATCCTTCTTAAATTAATAGTCCCAAATAAGGTTTAGCTAAATATGCTAAAGCTTTTAATTAGGAAGAATTCTGATATACTGCAAGTACATGACACAAACCAGCAAAAAACAATTCTTTGGTAAAACCTAGTGGCATATGAATAAGCAAACCACTGTCCATTTTGTGTATTGCTTAGGTATTACAAAGGGGACAATAGACAAAAAATGTTTTCTACTGCAGATTCTGGCTCCCTGAGGTGCATGTTACTCATAGCTTCAGCATTGCTAAATCTGCCTTCAGAAGCAAATTCCCTGTGGACTGAATGCACTAAAAGGAACAGATTGCATCTAAGAAACAAACGTAGAATTATCAGCATTCTCACAAATGCACTTATCAGTATCGTCAAACCTCACAATACACTTCTTATGAGTATCATCAAGATCTGTAAGTCCTGCCTATTCATTTTCCAGAGCAAAATACAATTCATCTGATACAAATGCTTTGTAAACTATATGGATGAAATTAAACAACCATTAAATATCAGAATAAATTCCCACTGACAAATTATTAAAGACAAAAAGAAACAGGCACCAGTGGGCAAATCTTTAAATTCTCTCTCTACCTCTGACCTCTTAGAGAGAAACTCAGCAGGAGTAACCTTCTGAAAAGGAGCCCACTAAAGTCTGTAATTCCATTACATTCTAAAAATTGAGGAAATAATTGAAATAATGGTTTTATCACATAGTACAACCTCCTTTTTCCATAACTCTACCCTAGCTGATACCACCATGTTCCAACAAGCAATAAATTACCTGCTCCTCTCTTTTCCATGGTGATAACAGCTTTTTTATCTCATACTTTCCCCAGTCCACTACCTCTTCTCTCAGATAGTCTAACTTATTAACATATCCAATGAGTTTGAGAGCAATTGCTTTCAATCCATACTTTTGGTTTAAGTGTTCTGTTGCTATTTCAGATCTAAAAGAAGTTTCTTCTTCTGAAAGCCTTTCTAATTTTTCCATCTGTTAGAACTGGAAAAAAGAAATTCCCCAGGAACCCCTGCCCCACTAATAGAGCAATGTTATGTTCAAGATTCTCACGTTCAGAGGCCAAATGGACTTGTGACAAACTTCCTGCTTTTACAGTTTTGTGGAGCTTCAGAAAGAAAGAGCTTTTAGCCCAAAGGCTTCAGCTGGACTACTCCTGTTTGCTCCTCAAGGCTATGCAAAGTTCCTTACCACCTAAAACCTGGTGATTACTGCTATAGTGACCACATGAGCCATACTCAGGCACCATTTAGGAAGAGCATCTCTTTAGAGCAGAGGACTGGATCAACCTTTCTGGGATCTGAGTTTCAGCCTTGACTGGTTTCTGCATCAGAAGACAGCAAAGAACAACCAAACTACCTTGCCCTGTGTTTGGCAGGGGAAGTAATTTCTTCATGACTTTTGCAGGCAACTGTTTAAAATCAGGTATATTTTAGACTGAGGTCAGAACGTGTATGACTGTTCTTGCAGCACACGAATTGTAAAAAACGAAATCATAAAATGAACAGATTTCAGCTGCAGCCAGAACTACCCTGCTTATTATCTAAACTGGCTACTCACCTCCAATGTGCAGTCCTCTCCAGTGGGCTGGATTACAGTGCATCTGTTAGCAAGAGCACGCTGCCTTTCCCTCCCTTATTTTTTTTTTAAAAGACATCTAGCACTGATGAGTCTATCACCTCCCTGCATCAGCTGTTCCACTATTTAGTCATCCTCAAAGGCAACAAATTGCAAGTTAATTCAACACTGCATTTTCCCCTTAATTTAATTTTCCAGTCACTGAATTTTGCTGTGCCTTTATCAATGATACTGAAAGTGTTTCTTGTCCCTTACCTATAGAAAAAATTTTCATGACCAAGTACTCAGACATAATGATAAAATAAGTTGAAATTCTTAAAGGTGCGCAGGTTTTAAAACTTGATCTCCAGGTCCTGTGCACCCCAATGTCTTCCTTCTGTCCTATTTGCTTATTTTACTTAAGATTGGACACCAAAATTTGACTTGGCATTCTAGAAGCAGCCTTATCAATACAGCATGCAAAGGCAATCATGACCCCGTTCTACTTGACAGTCTGACTTTAATACGTAAATCATTGCATTAGTGCTTTTTCCTTCCACAACATTGCAGAAAGAGCATAAGTAGACCCAATCTCTGATAACCTGTCCTTCTCTAAATCACAGCCTTACAACTACATATAGTTTCCTATCCCACACAAGCGGCTGGTATTCGGCAATATTAAAATACATTTTATTAGCTTCTGCAATTATCTAGTATGTTACATATTACCCCTCAACAATCTCTGTTATGCTCAAGCCTTACTGAAAATGTCTTATATCACTGTCTAGACTGTTGATAAAAATGTTAAGTGCTATTGACCCAAGAACTGATTCCAGGCAGACTCTGCTAGACACATCCCAGTAATTTATATCTGTCCATTGACATCACATTTTTCAACTTGTCAATGAACCGGCTTTTAATCTATTTAACATTTGCCATGTATTTCAGTTTCCTGAATAAAAGTATTTCTGTTGCAATGCAAATGAACTGGAAAAAGAGATGTGCTGTATCACTTTCAAACATCTTGAAACACAAACTCTTTTCTAGTAGTATGTAAGCAGGAAAAATTGAATCTATATAGTAGCTACTGCAATGTTTGTTTCAATATAGTCACAATGGTCTAGAAGTTTCAGTACCTCATTTATTATTGACTTTTGTACTGATCTTTTTTGAATCAAAAATAAAAGCTGCCAGAAATCTGAGAGTTTTCTTTACTCACTGTGGCATAGACAGGTGAGGGCCATGTAAAGTAGAATATGTGAGATATGCCATGAAGCCTTTGTCAAATAAAAACAGACAGTAGAGAATGAAGTTAATTTCATGTCGGCATATTGAATGTTGCTTTGCTAACACACATCTGAGATGAACACGTCAGCTCACTCACTTCTGGAAAGACAGACTACTAGTATTCAGTGTGCTTCAGGATGTGTAGTCCCTTCATACACCTTAACAGAGGGTATACTCTTATGCTATTACATGAGCCAGAAAGAAAGATGTTCCTGAAGAGCATCTGTGGAGACCATTTGTTAGTTCTTCTTTTCTTCTTGCTTGGTGCATAGCTTATATGAAAGTTTGACTGATGTCAGGCTTGACTATTCAACCACCAGATAACACCCATGAAAGACCCAGAATGTCAGGGGAAACAAAAGTACACCTAGTTTACCCAGGAAATATTTACAGCAGTAAATAATCTCTCTGTGAGAAAATTCAGTTGCCTGTAACCACAATGGATGACTCTGTGAAATTCTGGCACTGACAACGACCTGGCAGAGCCTGCTGGCTGCTCTCACAAACTGCGAGAGCAGCAAACTCCTCTACCAGCTACATCTGCCACAGAGGAATTGGAAATGGCACTGTGCTTGTTGGAAGCACTGATGTGATCTGATGCTACAAAACTCCAGTATAAGCAGAACAATGATCTTGCTCTGAATAGTCTCAGATTTGAAAGTAAAGGAGAGGAGAGAAAAGGCACAATTCTGATCACACACAGGTAAGTGCTGCTAGCATAAAGACACAGTACAATTGGGAAGATTTGACAGACTCTTTATATGGAAACTGGTACCTTTGCTTCGATTATCCTCCCCTTATCACCCTGTACAATGTTTGAACAGTTTACTTAAGTGGGATTTCAGAAATATGGCCCTCTCCAAAGCAATTCCACTGTCTGGATTCATGGATACGTTGATCAAGTAACCACATGTCTCAGATGAATAAAAGTCTCAGATGAAACACTGAGGTCTCAGCTAAACAGTGGTAAGACAGAATTAGAAAAGCAGTGAAACTTTCTGCTTCAACAGAGGAACTGAGACAGTGGCTACTAAACTCCACCTCATATGTTCCACATGGACTGAACGAAGAAATGGGGTCAAGCTCTCCTGGGAGATTCTCCAGCTACTCATAGAAGAAAACTTCAGGGTCTCATATGATAGGATAAGTACATTAGTTCTTTGGTTACATTTGTGGACTCAGAGCAAGAATTACTTGAAGCCATTTACAGAGTCCAAAAATATCACTGCAATAGTTCAAACTTAACCACATCCTCGAATTTCTCCTTGCAAGTTGTCCTAAAACTTGTAGTCTAATTCACCATATCACGGCTTTTAATTTAGGGTGGATTTAGTCAGTTAAAAATGCTAAATTACAGCCTGACTGTACCTGGTAAAGATGCAGGAAGATAACACCTGTAAAGACTTAATTTTAGGGAACAACTTCATGGATCACTAGGAATTTTACATAAAATACATAAATAAATATATGCCTCACAAAATACATGTCTATGAAAATGATAAATTAACATAAGCAAATTATCACGAAGAATATTGGTGGTAATATGAGAAAAGGCATCATAAATTAAAATAATAATTTGGAATCATAACTATTGACTATGCCATTAAGCAACTACTTTGCTTCTGTTTTTAAATAATATTTCTTAGTGTTTGTGTATAATGAAAAAAAGAATATTAATATCATGTTTTCTACCAAGATTTATTTAGAATTATATTGTTATATTCTTTTAGAAAAGTTCAACTGAAATATTATTTTTAAAACATTTCAAAGTGGAGGATACTATTGGTAAATAGCATAGAACAAATTTCTACT